TTTATTTATTAAGTTAAATAAACATGTGTTAGAGAGGTCCCTAGTCTTTGGAGCCGGAGAGAAGAACTGGTCCAATCCTCACAACTTTGTTTGCCACAGCTGCCAGAGACTTAGAACACTGGCCTGAGTGAACTGTGGATCTGATTCACAACAGGAAGTCATGCATTGATATTTGGCACCAGTGTCCCTCAGAGGCCTCTGGATGTAAGCACTGTCCTTGTCTACAGCGCTCAAGACCCAAAGCTGACAAGAGCCACTGAGTACATTTTAGCCACAGCTACTCATTTAGGCTTGGTTCATCCAAGTCTGTTTCAGCTGACATAATACAATCTATCTGGTGTGTAAGAACCTTCTAAATGAACATAACCTTTGGGTAGTCACAAAGCTGGCTCGCCATGCCTGACTGAATATCAGAGCCTTGACTGGGATGGGATTGATAACTTATCCTTCGCCTGCTCTTGTTTTAATTGTTTCCATCGAACCTGCAGGAGGTCTGGAAATATCTAAGGCAAAGGATAGTCTGTGTTCACTGTTTCTACTTTCTCACATCCCACTCACTCACCAAACCTAGTGGATGTTTTTGAGGCCTTTATCTAGCTTTTATGTAGCTATTTTATCTAGCTGAACACTTACTAAAGTTGACTACTAATAACAGACCTTCTTCCTTGAGATTCCCCCTCCCTTAACTTCATGATACCACTCTGCAACTTTCCTTTGCTAGCCAGCTCTTTTCAGTCTCCATCCTGGGCTCCTTCTCCTCTGTCCACTCCAGGTTCTAACCTTGGTCAGCCCCTCTCACCACGATGGCTGCTGCTTCCACTCCTAAAGCCCTAAAGCCGGAGAACTGTTGGTCTTCCATCTACGGCTTCTCATCACTAACTTTGGACGCTGTATAAACAAGGGCAGCTCTGTTGTGAGAATCTCACATTTCCTCCTTTCTCAATTTCTCCTCCAAATATTTGATTCTCATAATTTTATGCTGATGTCTATGACTCAGTTATTCTCAACCCTGACTACATATTAGAGCCCCCTAGGAATGGAAAATAAAAAATACTGATGCCTAGGCTACAGCATCAGAGATTCTAATTTAGGTGGTCTGGAGTGGGGCAAAGGCATTATTATTTTTTAAGTACTATTTTCCCATTATTGACATAACTTTTCATCTTTTTGTCTCAGAAGTAGTCTTGACAGCCCTTCTCCAGAACTGAGGCTTAGGAATTATTATTATTTCCAGGATCCTCGGCTCGAGAGCTGGAGCGCAATGGCTGTTTCTGGTCTTAAGTAAAGTATCTACACGACTTGTTTGCTCAGGACAGATCCACTTTACACCCATTGTTCTGGTGCTCTACTCAATTAGCTCTCCTGCTGCTTTCACTCTCACACATATCTCATTTTGTACCATAAATTATGTAGCCCCCCTAATCAGAAGGGTACCCAAAGATTTGAAAATACTTAGTATTATGGGCTGAATTGTGTCCCCACAGGTCAGAATGTGACTCTATTTAGAGATAGGGCTTTTAAAGAGGTGATTAAGTTAAAATGAGGCCATTGGGGTGGGGCCTAATCCAATCTGACCAGTGTCTTCATAAGAAGAAGAAATTCGGACACAAAGAGAGACACTAAGGATACGTGTGTGTATTCTCACCAAGGAGAGACCACGTGAGGACACAACGACAAGGTGGCCATCTGAAAGCCAAGGAGAAAGGCCTGCTGACACCTTGATCTGGGCCTTTTAGCTTCCAGAACTGTGAGAAAATAAATGTCTGTTGTTCAAGCCACTCAGCCTGCGGTATTTTATTATGGCAGCCTGAGCTGACTAATGCATTTGGTAAAATACAAAGAAAGTGAAACAAATATAAATATTGTTTCCTGAATATTCCAATCCTCCAAGGTGAATGCTTACACCATTTGCCAAGAAACCCACTGTCTTGATTTTAGATCTTTTCATTTCCTCAACCATATAAAGGGCTTGACGTAATGTCTTCACAGGATTGCTTTTAGCTCTCATACACTCTAAGTCTATAAGATTGTTCCCAGATGGAGGACTGGGGCATCCCTCTCTCTGGTAGTAAACGAGACGGTGATAATAAATGTCACATATGGTTACAACGGGTAAGGCACAGCTCCTACTCTCAAGGACCCACACACTGATCTAGAAATGTCTCATCTCCATGCAGCAAGTGACAGAGTGACTTTTATGAAGGCTCAGCACAGGGGCACTAAGTCAGCTCTCTAGAGGGGAGTTTAGAATAGGCTCCTGTGTGAGTAGACAGCCAAACTAATTTTTAATGAGTGAAGAGGAGCACATCCAGAGAAAGGTGGTGGGATAGGTATTCCCTGAAGAAGAAACAGCGTAAAAAAAAAAAAGGCAGAGTTGAAAGAGAAACCATGTTCTTTCTGGTGCTTTCCTAACCTCCCACACCTGGATGTTAAATCCAGTCCTTTTCCTCTGTCTTCAGAGATCAGAGAGTACAGCTGTTATCTCTCACATTTTTTTAACCCTTTAAATATTTGAGGACTTAAAAATCACAAATTCTGTACTTTCAGCTCTTCTTTCCCCAGGCTAAGTAATGTCAGTCTCTCCAGGCTATTCTCCAAACTTTTAAGCCCAGTTCATACGTTTGCACCCACTACCCCCCACCAATGTGTGTGCATGGACACACACACATGCACACACACATACATATGCATGCACACACATGCCAAAAGGGCCTGCAGTTCACCAAAAGGCTCTTACATTTAAGAGAATATATTGGTGCTGTCCTCTCACAAAGTACAGATTAAGGTCACATCCATCACAGAGCTGTGTGAACCATCAAATAGTCAGTATATTTCCTTCATTAAACAGCAAAAGAATCAGACTGACACACATCAGTCATTCTGAGGGATGACTCTATTTGCCGAGAGGAAGGTGTGTTCCCTTCTCCACTACTGACAAGTGAATTAATAATCTTGCCATTTGTGGGTGTTTGGAAACATCAAAGAACTGAAATAGATCAGCCCCACTGATATGGGATGAATTTCTACCAGGAAACACCATCCTTCTTCTAATCTTACATTGCGGCATAAATACAACAGCCCTTGTTTTCCACACAGATTCCTACTTCTTTCACACCCAGGCATATGCTAAGAGCTCTCAGGCAACACTCTTTCTCCATCTCTGGGAAGTGTCTTAAGACATCTTTAACTCACCAAACGCTAAACAGAGGAGGATCTGTTTCTTTACTCAAGGATAATCATTTTCAACTGTCTATTTATACTACAGATGGAAACTTATAGATTGAAATAAATATATTTTCATTCTAAAATTGGCATCTGCACTGCCATAGTTAAAGGGTGCAACACTTGTGTTTGAAAAACAATCATCCAGGAAATTTCATGTTGCTTCGTGATGTTCAGACCAAGTGCTCACTGGAGTTAGAAGGTGAATAGCATTAAAGAACACAGGTAAAACATTAGCCTGAACTAATGGGACTACAGAGAGACAGAAAATGCCAACAATGATAGTACAATGTGTGGTTTAAAAGTAATAGCTTATGACACATAAGTAAAGGATCAGTCTCCTTTGAAAGAACCCAGTAAGAAAGGATTGATTAAAAGTTTAACACTGTGCTCTATAATACAGTAGCAACTAACCATACATAGCTATTTAAATTAATTACAATTAAATAAAGTTACAAATTCAGTTCTTAGGTTGCACTAGCCACATTTTAAGAGCTCAATAGCCACGTGTCTAGTTGTCGCCATATTGAGCAGCAAAGATAGTAGAAATTTCCATCATTACAGAAATTTCTAATGGACAGTGCTGGTCTAGGGGTTGTGTTTGACTACTGGGATAGCATCATTTTAACTATCAGGCCTTAAAGAGATGAAGGGGAGGGAGCACAGCATGCCTGCTAAATATCACAAACCAATGCAGGAAAGTGTGGCGGAAAGGGAAAGAAAATTCCACTCCTGGAATGAGGTAATATGATATAGCATTGACATTTTATTATAAGAAATAACCTTAGACAAGCATAGAAATCTTGGGCAAAAACAGAAAAGGGTTAGAAAGCACTAGTATTTGAATACCTCATCACACTCTTCTAAACATTCATAAAATGAACCAACCTCTTCCCATCTATTAGCAGCTGATTGGACTTTATAGGTCATCCCTCAAATACTATTCATTCATCCCTCACTTTCCGCCCTCAATGTTCTGCTTTTTTGAACATGTAACAAAACATTTTGAACATATATTTAAATAAATAGAACCCTAATCAAAATAGAAAAATGCAGACTCTTCCCATTTTACAAAAAAAAGGCAAGAATTTTATTTTAAACAAATCCTCAGTTGTGTGTTACACCATGTCCATCTCTAAATCAAAAATCATAATGATAATGCAAAAGAAACAGAGGGCTTCATAAAAGCACATTATACAAACATTACTCTTAGCCAATGCTTTAACTAAATACACAGTGGGTGTGAGAGGTACAGTATGGCACTTAAATAAATAAGAGCAAAGAGAAGGAAATATATTCACAGTTCAAAGCAATAGGTTTTCGAACCTTTGGTATATGTCTCAAATAAGCATCCGTAAACACATGTTAGCCAATAGTGTTTAGTTCCAGGTTTCTTAAGCCAGTGATTGTGTGTGTGCATTTCAAAATAATTGATAAAATAATAAATTGGTATTGACATGGGCTGATTAAGGTCTCTGGTGTGAGCACACAGGTAAATTCAAACCATGGCAAAATGAAGTGCAGCTATGTTGCACAACAAAACTATATAAGAAAACGAGTGAAATACACCAGTTAGAAATTCTGTGGCTCGGGAAGACACCCTTGATTTTAACAAAAAAAAAATTTTAATGCTACCCAAAGTCCACAAGCTGGAAGGCAGAAAGATCCCAAAGCTCATAACCACATGCCTAACAGTGCAACAACCATCTCACAGAAGTGTTAGAGTTGCATATTGCAATTCCCTCCCTCCCACCCAATCCCTGCCCCTAATAAACAGCACCAGTGCAGTTTGAGTTAGAAAACTGGAAATATTGAGACAGTCCTAGGGTTTTCATAATGACTAAGGGCCAGTCAGATGGGGCTCTAATGCAAAAGTCTGCCATGGCCATTCTCCAAAAAGCAGCCCATGTAATTCCCCCTAACTTGCAGATAAACCATAGTAGTTCTGCTGTAAGGCCAGATTCAGAAAAAAGCTGGCATGCTATCCTGGGTTGGGAGAGTGGGGCATGCTGACGGGGGAGGTACAAAAAGGATGCCTCAGGAATGTTTGTCCTGCAGCCCAGGATGTAGGGATATGTGGAGACAGGTCACAAATTTTGTACCAATAAAGTATTTGACTCATGCCATTCACCAGGATACAGAGCTCAGTAGAGCTAAGTCCTACTTGGTGGCTGTGCAAGTCCACTGTTATCAAGATCAAACTGGGCCATAAAAGAAAAGGGCCCAAAGAACTCCAACTCATCCATCTCATCACTCTACTCAATTGTCTCTGTGGAACCAATGATGTAACATGTGGTAATGGTTCTACTTCCTCTCCTCTCCCATTGATGCAAGATCTTTTAACCAGTTTTATCTTACATCTCAATGGTGAGTGTGACATAAATGAGGGCAGATATAGCCACTTTCAAGCAGTCATCTGCCTTGGGGCTACTTGTCATCCCCCAGGGCTTCCGAAAACCTGCCCCTTCACACATAGGCAGAGTCACTGGACTGAGTCCTGCCAAAATTGGGAACACTGACCCTGGGCAGGTCCTTGTTGCGGATCTCATAGACGGACTTCCTCTTTGCCTGGGCCCCTCGCACAGCCAGCTTGATCTTGCGCCATCCCAGGTGGTTGAGTTCAGCCAGGTTGAGGACAACACAGATGCCACTCACAGCAAACATGAACACTAGAAAGACGGTCTTTTCAGTAGGCCGGGACACATAACATTCCACCTCCTTGATGCAGGGATAGCGGTCACATTCATACAACCCCGGGACGCTGAAGCCATAGAGAAAGTATTGGCCCACCAGAAACCCAATCTCCAGGGCATTTCGGAACACCACTTGGATAATGTAGAAACGGGAGATGCCTTCCTGCCTTCGGAGCTTGGATCGCGCTGCAGTGCGCAGCCCTGATGGGTGTGGGGTCAGCTCCTTAACCTCTAAACAATCTGGCTCTGTCTCCTTGCTGGTGTTCTCTGTGTTCTGCAGCACACCATTGACAATGGCATTTTGCAACTTCTTATCTTCTCGTTTGCCGCCACCACTGCTCCCACCCCCAGTTCCTCCAGGACCCCCCATGGACTCAGGGGGATCTCTGTCCAGGGCTAGGAAGACGGTAGAGTAGCGGCGTTCTCGCTGCTTGGCAGACTGGTGTACAGAGTAGGTGATGAAGCAGAGACTGGGGGTACACACCATTATGATCTGGAAGACCCAGTAACGTATGTGGGAGATGGGGAAGGCGCGGTCATAGCAGGCCTGGTTACAGCCGGGCTGCAGGGTGTTGCACACAAACATGGTCTGCTCATCATCGTACACCGTCTCCCCCACAATGGCCACGATGAGGATCCGGAAGATCACCACCACAGTCAACAGGATCCTGAGCAGAGGAAGAGGGAGGGAGAGAGGTTCTCATGGGCTGAGTCACTGCTTTAGGAAACCCCTGCTTCTCACTTTCCTGCTCCGGTGTTCACCAGTCCTCCGGCTGGGGAGCTGTCCACCCCTGTGTGGTACTGAACTAGGAATCTAGCAAAACTTTTTGTCTCTTCCCTTTCTCCTGGGTGCTGGTAGACTGGGAATACTTCAAATTACAGGGATCTCAGGTATATATATCTCCATACACAGGACATGGTGTATTTGCAACAGATAGATTTCATCTGTATATATGGAACGTACAGAGGCACAAAACACACCTTCACTCTGGGTATGGCAAATGGACATGGAATATCTGAACAGAGAGCACATGTTTCAAAGTCTACATATAGAGTGTGTACATAACTACTCCAAGTGGATACTTAGTTTATCATCAATATGAATATTGAACTTAATGCTTTATATAAACAGATAGCTATGAATATATATCCACATATATACATGAATATTTAGAGAGAGAGAGAGAGAGAGACACACACAAGTGACACTTGTGTGTGTGGGTTTCTGACACTGTAAGTTTTAACAGCTAAATCAGTTTAGCCAAATAAATATCTGTTGGGAAAAGATACATCTGCTCCGGAGAGCAAATCCATCTCCCCATTTGCCCTTCTCTGTCCAAACGCAATCCTGCCTTCCTTGTAGATTCTATTTAGGGAACCGGCTGGAGATTGGCTCTGACTCGGGAGAGTGGGGAGACCACGACTGAGCCAACAACTCCTCTTCTTATGGGAGAAGAGTCAACCACTCCCCCACACCCACCCCACCCCACCCCGGTCGTGTTTCCTAGGGAAGGGATGGGGGAGCTGATCAGGAGCAGCTGGAGGAGGGGGGCATCAGTGGGTAATCCCTCAATGCCGGGAACACAGGCGCATGGACCGAGGACGATGGGAAGGGGGTAGATGATGGGCTGGGGGTTTTGGGGGCTTGGTCTGGACGTGAGAAGGGACTCCCGGGGGGGCCCCCGACGGGGCCCGCTGACGGCCGGCTCGGCGCCCTTACCTCCCGATCATAGTGGAGTGCTGCTGCACCGCGGCTTCCAGCAGCCTCTCCAAGATGGTCCATTCCCCCATCGCTGTGCATCCGGAGGCAGCAGACAAAGACTGGGCAGCACCGGGCACGTTCCCGCTCCTGGCCCCTCCCCGGGCCGCAGCTCCCGACTGGGAGCAAATTGCCCCCCGATTAAAGAAACAAACAAATTTTTTAAAAATCCATAAATCCCCTCTCCCTTTTATTATACTTAAAAGAGGGAAACGGGGAAAGCAATCCAAGCACACCCCGACTGATGGGGCAGCTGGCGCGGTCCGGAGAGCGGGCACGAACCTCCCGCGCCGTCCGGGGCTCAAGTCTAGAGCCCGCGGGTGCCCAGGCGAGAGGCGGGGCGGGGGTGGCAGCGTGCCGGCCCGCGACCTCTCGCCGGCCTGAGAGAGGTCTCTGGGCGCTGCTCACCCCAGGGGTTGGGGGTCGGGGAAGGGTCCGGGCACCAGCCTGGGCGCCTGGCACTTCAGTGGGCACCGGGCGCTTCCGCGCTGCCGCCTGCGAGGCCCGGGCGGAGCGCGGGGAGCTGGCTGCAGGCTCGGGAATCCGCGGCCGCCGCCTCTAATCCGCCCTTAAGTAGTCTCCGCCTGCGTCACGCCAGGTCGGCGGAGGGGAGCCGAGCGCCGCGCGCGGCTGTCGCTGCGGGCCGGGGCCCGAGGGGCAGGGGACGCGCGCACGGGGAGAGGAGGGGCAAGAGTCCTGGGGCCCCGGCGGGGAGCGGGGTGGCTTGGAGGGAAAGGATCGCAGCGCCCCACGCGCTTCTCAGGGCGCCCAGGTAAACTCACCTGACCGCCAGCCCCCGGCAGGCAGGACGAGGGGAAACCGGGAGCAGACGCGTGGGTGAGTGGGGAGCAGCACGAGTAGTTGGTTTAGCTTCTCTCCCTGCATCCCTCACTTTTTGCGTTTTGTCTTCAGGGAGACAACGGAAATTCTCTCTCTAAATGGGGATACTGGTTAGGAGAAGAAGAGTGGGGGCGACAGTAGGACGCTTTTAAATCTCCCTTGGAGAGGACTGCGTGACTGAGAGCGAGCCTGCGGTTCGGTGCCTCCGTGGATCTGGTGGCGAGGTGAGGGAGGCTTGATCAGAGTCCGTTTAGGCTGAAGCTTAAATGCAGGTGTGAAGCTGCCTCTGAGTATGGGGGTCCGGGCACAAGTTTGTAGCTAAGAGGTGACTAGAGTGAGCAAGTGGGTAACCATGATTAAAGTTCTGGCTTCCCCCAGCGCAAATGCAGCTGCTCTGCTATTTTTTTAAAAAACTTTTATTGATTTATTTTTTAACTAATGGGGAGGAGGGTTGCTTCTCAGGTAAACTGTGTTCTAATCTAAATTTAAGGAGGCCCAGTAGTCGGCTAGCAGAAACGCAGCGGCTCACAACCTCATCCCACCTGGGCTTTCCTTTTCTGGCCTTGGTTCTCTCCCCACAACCAGCAGATCCTGGTTTCTGTTTTTAAATTTACATTTTGTCGTCAATTCTGTCTAGAGCAACTGCTTAATTGGTCACTGGAAAATTGAAACAATCACACTAGACTGCTAATTAGCTCAAGGGTCAGTATTAGGAGACACAATAGTTTGAAGTGTTTCATATAAATGTACCAAAAACACAATGGGTAAGTGGTTGTCACCCTTTTGAAAATACAACTGTGAAAGGGTTGCTAACTCATTCTAGGCATATAATGTAGCCTTAATTATCCACAGGGATCATAGCACATATGTGTATTATATAAGCCGCACCATGATGAACCTTCAGTTCTAGAGCAACCGAGTTGGTTGGGTAGCCAGCAGCCCAGGGACTGGGGAGAAGGGTACAGGGCATGGGCTTGAGTCCACTCAGTGCATTTCTTCATAAAATGACATTCAAAGGCACAGCCCAGGGTTTGGTGCGAGAAGGATCAGTGAGATCCTTCCTAGGGCTGATACCTTTAGCCCATGGAAGCAGTTTTGCACTGCAAAGGAGTAAACGAGTCCACTAAAAATGGAGAAAGGTAGAGGGTGTAAATAGAACATCAGAGCTAAGGCAGGTGCTCCTTATTTCCTGCGGGGCAGGGCGGAGGTGCGAAGATGAGGATGGATGGCTATCTTATTATCCAGTCGGCTTCCAGATGGAATGGTGATTCCCCCAACTCAGACTTGGTGTGTTTTCTCAGACTTCCTTCCTACTTCCTTAGGCTCTGGATCCCTGTATTCACTCCTCCGGCAAACACTTTTGGAGTAAAAGATCTCACACAAGGAGTGAATGAGTGAGGAAGTCCCAAGGGAAATCTGTTCAACATCTTTAAATGTCCCAAAATTGGCTATGCAGCTCAAAATCCTTATGATCTATACATGTGGCTTTCCCAAACCCTTAAAGATGGTGACCCTAAGACCATAGATGGCAGGAAATATGTTTTAAGTATTCTCACAGTGCAATTTTCAAGCACTAGGCTACACTGTCGATTATTAGTTTATTATTTTGAAATATACTTTGATATGTCATATAAATTCAACATATGAACACATGTATATATAATACATGCATATATACACACAAAAACACCTATACACAGAACTTATATTTTAAAAGATTCATCTTTTAGATTTGGTAGCCTGTTTTTAGAAAAAAAATTTAGTCTCACCAGCACGCCTTGAAAACAATGAACTCTTTTTATTTTTAAAAATCACTCATAAGTTGTTTTACACTTACTATGTTGTGTTTCCTTTTTTGATCCCTATCAATGCCACTGTCAATTAACAATTTGCCCTGATAGTGCTGCATTAAATATGAAATCTTCTGTGTAGAGCTGGGCATCTCTGAGTTCCCTCAGGCATTATCTCCTCTAGCTAGATTCTCACGGTCTTAATTCCCCTCTGATTGAAGATCCCTACTTAAGTTGACAGGAAAATTCTTCCTTTAGCACTTATTTAAAACTCATTTTACTCTATTAAAGTAATAGTTTTGGATGAGAAACAATGGAACTCATAGAATGAACTTTGGTGGACATTAGACCATCTGGGGATGCTCATTAAAAATACAGATGCTAAGGTCCCACCCAAACCTGCTAAATTAAAATCTATGGAAGCGAGTTTTAAGTATCTGCATTTTTATTACGTTCTCGCCAGTGGCTCTAATAACAATAAGAAGTTGTGAACTTTTTCTTTCAAGCTTTTTCCTTAGCTATGAGGAAAGTGCTACTTAAGAGTTCTAAAGAAGAGGACCAAATAATTTAAAAGGATGGGACATGTGATCTTTGAAGAAGGAAAAGGGAATTAAGGCGGTTTGGATCATAGAAACATACCCATCTGCAAGCGTCTAAAGGAAAATAATACCTGGATTGTTGGCTTTGCAAAGCCATGTCTTACCAAATAGTAATTTCCATTAGCAGAGCAGAGAAATATTCTCCACATCTAGTGAGAAACACTGTAAAGGCACGTAGCAAAGGGCAGAGCTGAATAGTCTAACACAGGGAGGAAGTGGAGAGTTGCTAACAGCGATCTGGTTTACTCCATGGATGTGTCTGGATTTGCTCTTTCCCTTACATTTGCTTAGAACTTCATTCTCTTTTCCACCACAGATTCCTAGGTGAAGCTGTTAGCTTTGCATCTTCAAATAGTTGGAAAATGAAACCCCCTAGGAACTTTGTGCAAGTTGTAAGAATGAAACTGAATCTACTTCCCTCTCCTCTACTGGCCCATAAGTTCTTGGGGAGTGGAGGCCATGCCTTATACATCATGCCTGCTTTCCATAGTGTCTTTAGCATTGTGGAAACTTAAGTGTGCTGAAGGAGTTGGGGAGCTATTCTGGCTCTCTAGTCCCCTCAACCTGGGAAAGCTGCATGTTCCCTGAGTAGAGGTAGGTACTGGCTGCCCCATGACCCTAAGGTATGTTTAAACTGGAAGGAGAAAAGGGTTCCCTTTGCCAAGTGAAAGTCGCTACACACTTGGGGCAGCCTGGACCCCTCACTAGAAAGCTGTCTTGTTAACCACCTGCCTCCTGCTCTCACTTTCTGCTGCTCTCGCTCACTGTGGTCCCAACACCAGCTGAATTCACCCGGAGAATGCTGCTGAGTGTGCCAGGTTTGGGCTGCAGCATCAGAGAGGCAGCCTTGGAGAGCTGATCATAGCTTTGGATACATGGGCTCCGGGAAGTGCCAGCATCTGTAGCCTCTTGGATTTGTGTGGCTTGGGAAGGACTGCATTCGGTTTGGGATTGGTCTCTGTGTTAAAGTCCTCCACATTTCATTCACAAACAGCTAGGATTAACTGAGCCTTATCTCCCCCAGTGGCCTACATACATCTGTTTCCTAATGAAACCATCAAATTGTCTTCTGAAGGGGCAACCCCAGCCTGCCTTGTGGGAATTGAAAGAACGTAAGTGGCAGATGAAATCTACTCCTCTTTGCTGCAAAGTGATTTTTCTCTTTCTTTCTTTTGTGTTTCCTTCCCTATGTTTAAGCCCCAGCTCAAATGTTTAGGGAAACACTTCCTGCTTTTGCTTTCCAGACAAAATTTAGAGAGGAATACTTCCTATGGGAGTAAAGCTGTCCAACCCACCAGTCGTAAGTAGCCCTAAATATGGTGGCTTGTTGCGTGGCCTACAACTCTCCGGAGCCTGTTACCTTCAAAACTATTCTGAAATCTCATGGACCCGAAGGCTGAGCCATGTCTTAGCCCCAAGAGACTATATATCCAAATAGTGGGGAAATCTAACATCTTCTGCCTGATAGTTCTTTGAATAAAACGGTATGTATCCCTTTAAAAAAATCACATGTACTAATTCCGCATTCCTCACCCACCTTGTCTATAGAGAATATACCTATGTGTAGTAATACCTCAGGGATTAATGGAATATGACGTTGCGGCCAAAGCAGATCTGTGAAATCACAACAAATAAATTAACACTCCATTAAGAATCAAATCAGCCCTGCTGACACATAATCTTTCACGTTTATGTCAAGTCATGACTCCCATTCACGTCGGGAGCTTCCCAGGGGGGTTCATTAAACCTGCAGGAAGAGATTTCTTTTGAGTCAACACTATTCAAAAGTCATTCAGCTACAGAGCCGAAGAGCCTGCCTGGGGTCTGGGCACCTGCTTCTTCACACTCTCATTGTCCCTGTCCAGACAGAGTCCCAGCCATGCAGGATATAGCTGGGT